GAATCCAATTTATCACTCGTGTGACCTGGTTGCAAAAATAACTTGTATCTCATTTTAGCGTGGCGTATATGTACTAAGATTTATCTGTCAACAGATACTTTTAAAAGATGATTAATTTTGCGGAAAACGTAGAAGTGCGAGCACTCCGACAGGGTAAATTTTAAAGTTTTCATTAAAATACTGTTTCCTTACATTGTTCTTGCGAATTTGTAGAGTCAAAATACTCGTCTATAGAAAAGCCCCCCCCAAACTCCTTGAAAAGGGTTGAAAAAAAAGAGAAGACGTGCATCAAACGGTGAACTGTTTTTGATTTAGGCGTCTACCGTGTTTTGTTTGATAAAACGTAAAAATATCTCGGAGTAGATTAGGCGATCAAATATTTCACAAACTGTTGCTTAACACCAATAGGGCGATTATGGATTGTAAAAAAGTGCTAAGGATTTAAGATTTTTTGTCTTTGGGAATAGGATGCATGCACAGATAAGGCGCAGCTTGACCAGAGAACCAAAATTTGGGAATAAATTACGCCTTCATCTGACCAGAAGCACTTGTTCTGTCACGGGAAGCGTTTGAAGAACACTCGGGCCTTCGATTCCACAAATTTTGCAGCCAATCTAAAGTTAACTCCATCTTCCCCTTGGCGTAAACCTTGACTAATGCCCCTTTAGCAATTTTAATTTTCGGGATTGCTTTCCTTCTGGACACAAACAATCTGGTTTAGCCTTGTTCCATCAGCAGAAAAAGCATGTTCAACCGTAAAGTGTTGTACCTCATTACCCGCTGTCATTACGAGCAGTCTTCTGTTGCCGAAGTTTTTTGGTTTTTATTTACTTTTATTTGGGGCGGTTGGGGGGGGGGCGGTTGTTAATTTCGTACCTCAATGAAAACACGCATGATGATATTTATTTGAAGCCGCATATTTTAGGCAAAATGTTGAGTCCTGTACACCATGACGTACCGGCAATTAAAACGAGATCAGGATGGGCATGCTATTACTTCTTAGATAACATAACAGTTTAACCCCTCTCGTATAAGTAGTAGAAGGAGCAGACCATTATTGCGCACCCACCAGTCACTCGTTTGTATTTGGTAAAACATTCAGATTAGGTGGCCTTTTCTGATTCACACCAAACCATTGTGTAATATATTCTATTTCCTGGGTTATTGCCATAGAAAATAATACACATATCAATAACAAACACATAATATAGAAGATATTGATAAACCCTAAATTTACTGGATATGGAATCAGTCAGGGTGGTCACACGAGAGATTGTTTTCTTCCTCTGCCCATTCGTTTCTCTTTCTTTCTCTCATTCACTTCCATATATCCTCCTCCTCCTCCTCCTCCTCCTCCCTCTTTT